TTGGACTTAACCTAACTGGTCCAATCAACAACCCCTTTGCCTAAGAGCATGACAATTCAAAGCAAAAATTTGGTTTTGAAATTTCATTAACGGAACAGTAATTCAATTACTCAAAGCTCATTTTCAAAAAAAAAAAAAAAAGAAAAACTAAAAGCTGATAACCTATTGGTGAAAGTCAAACTTTGATAAAGAAATTGACACCCAAATTTCAGCTTAATTTATTTGCACCGGTTTCAAATGTTGTAGTCTTGTAGATACCACTAGAATTTTGTTGGGGGAGTTTTGGTTTTGAGCAGTGTTTTCAAACCGTGGTTGATCCGAATGATCGGACCATTTGGCTTGAGAATCATTTACACAACTAGTTTCATTTCACCCTTAACTTGGTTCTCGGCAAAAAATCATTGATTTGGTCAACGGTCCACTGACCTAGGCAGTTAAATCATCAACTGTTTTGTCTGTTTTATATTTGAATTACTTGTTACTTTTTAAGTTGAAACAGACCGTCCATTCAAATCGGATGATGGAACTGTCGGTGGCAAGAACGGTTCTGATTTTTGAGTCAAAATGGAACAAGCTGCTCAGAAACAAGAAAAAGAAATCTGGTATTCAAATTTGATTTTTGATATTGTGAACAAGTCCGTTACGCACTCAGCACTGCTACTACTGTCAAGTCTCAACTGGTTCTGGTGACGGGAGGTTTGCTGAACCTGGCTCAGGTTGACCAGCCTAACAAGTTAGAACTCGGGAATTCTGGCAACGCGCTTGGCGCAAGTGGACAGTGTCAATTCTCTATAAGATGGGGCTTTTTGTAGGCACTCCAACAGTGAAGTGGTTTGATACTTATTGTGAGAGGTATGGAGTGCGTGGCAGTATGTCCAGGGAAAGCAACAAACTAACCCATTCCATCAGCCTTGATCATAGCTAAAGCAACCACAAAATGATCAAAGCTTTTTTTTGTTGTTGTCTCTAGTTCAGAAGGACCCCGAAATATTCTTGAATTTTAATGAATTGCCAAGTTGTTCATCTCCTCCTACAGCCTACTAGTGTTTGAATAAATGCCAAGTTGTTCATCTCCTCCTACAGCCTACTAGTGTTTAACGTGTGCAAAGGGTTGGCCTATTAGCCCATTATTGGCCCAGGTTGACTTTGACTTGCATTATCTATCACATGCTTTGGTCTATGGTCTCAAAGCTAACTACTGAGTTCTGACCTGTGAATGGCTGAATTCTGCTTGGTGGGGTCTTCGGAGGTCCCTGGCCCATGTTCTTCTGTTCACATTGCTTTCAGAAAAGTAAACTCTGCAACTGGTGAAGCTCTGCTTCTTGTGTGGGCACCCATACTCTTCCAGAGAATATGGGAAATGGATAATTCATCTCAGCTACTGAAAGTCTGAAACCCAGTTGCATTAATTAAATTCCCTTAAAATCCATGTGGTGGTTTGGCGTTGAAGCACCATAAATTGTCTCCCATATCCAACCATGGAAGCAATAGACAGCTTCTAACAATTTTGAATTTAATCAACAATTGTGAAAGGGGGTTTGATCAGAGCACTTCCAATGGAGCTCTGAACACAGAAACCAGTAGAAACTAACAACCCACTTGGGCTCTTAGACTGAGAAAATGAATCTACCATGACAAATTTGTCAAAAGCTTCATGGTGGGACTCTGAGCCCTTGCCATGGAGTGTCAATGTTTTCAACTTTTACTAGTAATGCTATAAACATTCTCATGCTGCTCTTCATCTTCACATCTATCTCAATTGGCTTCTGCATTCTGGGGTTTTGGAATTTCTCAAAAGTCCCATCTGTTTTGTTTTTTCTGCCCTTTGAATTCTAGCATTGGACTCTGCTAATTTTAGACTTTCCTCTTCTTGTAATATTTTAAATATTTTTTCTCATACAAAGACTGAACTAATATTTAATTAAGAGATGAGGAGTCGGTCCATTTCATTTCTGTTTCGAAGGTTTTCTGAGTTTGGATAAATCTCCCATGCAAATTGATCATGAGTTTGCACTTGCTTTGATGATGCAATCCTTCATAGTCACTAATCACACCCACCCAACTCACCAATAGATAGATCTGAACGATCGTAGCCATCCAACAGTTTGACCATTACATCAGTATTCAGCATGTTCTATATAAATATAATATTGAAATGTTCACGTTCTAACCACCACGACCACGATAGTAACGGGTTGACCACGGAATTCATATATAAAAAGTCAGGAAATTGACGGTGATGATCTTTGGATCATCCGAATATCATGGCCCATGAGCATAATGGAACAGTACCACAGATTCTAACCTTAATTTATCAAAGATGAGAATTTGCCACGTGTTAAAGATAAGGACTGGTTGACAAGAATATCGCTTGGTTCAATAAAAAAATGAACCGACAAAAAAAGTGAAAACAAAAAGGGAGGTTGGTTGGTGACTTGGTGCACGTGAGCCGAACCAGCGTCGAACACGAAACCAACGTGCATGAATCCACACTGCTCCACGTCACCCACGTACGACCGTCTATATCAGATGAATCGAATATATTTCCCATTAAAAAAATATTTAGTAAATTTAAAGTAAAGAAGTCTGATTAGTGATCATGCGCGAAAACACAAAAAAGGATTATTCCCACTTAAATCTGTCCGGGTTCATGTCGGTCGGGTCTAGATCCATGATCCATTTATAAAGGGTCCCATGGATCATGGTCTCCTCGAACCGGGTCCACCCAATACGCTCCATTTTCGTAGACAGGGTAAACCCATAGATTTTATGGGTCCCACCATTTCTAACAGGTGAATCGAATTATCAAACATCACCGATGGTACCTTGTCATAGATTGTCAAAAATACTAGGGAGTAGGGAGTAGGGAAATATAGGAATTTTGACGTGTATTGGATGAGTCTTCTAGGTGGGCCCCATATAATTGATGGGCCCATGGTTCTCGATGAGCCCAGCCCAGGCCCCAGGGATGTGAGTTATATCCATCTTAGGAGTCAAACTAGTTTAAATAAAGGGACTGCTGTCCTACCTAATTGTCTTTTCCATTTCGTGAAACACGTTTTTGTTTTCTAATTATTTTATTTTTTGTTTTTAAAGCAAACAATAATCTACTATACGCCCGCTCAGGCGTTCACACCATATTGACGGTAGACGTTTGGTAACGGACATTGGATCGTATGACCGTTGGTGATCGTTTAGTAACGGCTGAATTCACTGAATTGAACTACTTATCAGCTGAAACAATCAGTTCAGCTTCAGCCAATGGAAGGTTCCTTACTTCCTTACCCTACAAAACTTCTCCAACCGTCCAAGTGTAAACAACAGGAATTTGAAATGCAAATAATCTGTATTACGGCACCTGTGCTCTATTTAATGGTGGATCCAGATCTTCTCAGAAAGTGAAACGTGGCAACCAATGGCTCCAGACCTTGAAGGAACCCTAGACAAGGAACTATCTTGTGGGGCCGTGAAAATCATGTGATGAGGGGCATTTTCGGAATTTCATATAATTTGTTATGGCCCATAGGCCCTATACCATTTCCCTGGGGAAACCAAAACCACGTATGATAGGTTGACTCCAGTCAAGGTTGACTAAAACCTGGATCGCCCTCGTCGTTATCAATTTGACCTTACAACTCCAGTCTTCAAACCAAGCATGTCCCACTCAAGTCTTGGTGCGACAAGCCACACCAAATCATCAATCAATGGATAATGTAGAAAATAAAATATCCATCACCGAAAACGCGTTTCCATTTTTTCTTCTACCCTTTTCTAGTCGGCCCTGGGCCTGGGCCTGGGCCTGGCTTTAACTCGATATTCCTCCTCCGTGACCACTGACCCGGTTAATGGTTCTGACTCGGGTTACAGGTGACTTACTTTTACTTTGAATTAGAGAAGAAACCGCAGCTAAACATGGAATAATTCTCCTTAACCGTTCAATTGGAATCCCCTCCTACCTCAGAAGTTCGAGAATGGTAATGTGAGGCTTCTAATCCCTTCTTGTCGATTTAAAAAAAAAAGAAAAACAAATCATTGTCAAGTTTGACAAATTTTTTTTATGGCCACCAAAATGGAATCAGTATAACTGCTAGTAGCAGTAAAAAAAAGGGTTTTTTTTATTGTTCAGTCTACCCTAGAAATCTGAGCCTTTTTTAGCCCCACCGTACAGGTGGGATGAATCTGACCATGAATAAAGGGTTTTTTATTGTTCAGTCCACCCCAAAAATCTGAGTCTTTCTGAACCCCACGATACAGGTGGAATGAATCCTGACCATGAGTGGATGCTAAATTCACAAACCGGATGCCATTTATTTGGAGGAATGAGAGCTACTAGCTATAATTTCAGATTTTTGAGGTAGATTACAATCTACTGATTACACAGGCATCCACTAAATTATTTAAGCTTTGTTAAATGTCCAGGGCAACTTCAAGAGCTGATGTATGATACGGTACAATACATATCATACTCAACCATGCATCAGATGAACCGGTTGGTTGAACCGTCCAATTGTGGCAATGATGTCCGGCTTGGGTTTTAACTTAAAGCAGTAGAAACGCCCCGATGAGATATGAGAAATACAATACTAGTTGGATATGGTAGAATCAAGTGGTGTGGGGGCCAAAAATGTGGTGATTGATTTATCCTTGATGGACGGTTGTGATTGGCCTCATCTTTTCTCCACGTGGCAAAAAACAGCTACTAGAAGGGTTGGTGCCAAGTAAACCTCAAAATCAGAGGCCAAAAGTCCAGCCCAGCCCGACCCACACAAGTGGGCTCATGTCGGCACCAGAAAACCAATTCAAACACGAACTCTTTTTTCGCTGTCCTCCCATCCAAACAAACACCGACATTCGCTCTGAGAAAAGGATCAAAGGCTACAGAGTTAATTCTCGCCACCTTAATAATAAACCAGTCAAAACCATGGTGTGAACATAACACCACCATGGCATCTTCGCATTTTTTTTTCTCTCTCTCTCTCTCTTATAAAAAAGATCGAAATCAGGAATCGAAAACACTTGCAGAGAATTCAGTTTTTTTGGTAATTAATTAATATTTTTTACAAAGCTCTCAGAAGACTGATGATATGACGGCGGCGTAACAGAGTTTGAAATTCAATCAACTATAGTTTATATAGCCGTTGATTGCAAACGAGCTTGAAAGCGTCGTTTGAAGATCGCCGGAACACGAGTCAAACTGGGTTTGAGTTTTGGTGATCGAGTTTCCGCAGAGGTTGGTTACATGTGCGAGCTGAAGGTGGCGAATCCAAGAGACACAGATGAGTTTGCTAGATTTCCGGCTGGGTTTGATGTGGGAGATACAGATGAAGGGTTTTCTCAGGCACCACCTGCACCTTCGGTAACACAGCACGAAGGGATTGTATTACAGGGATACTCGGGACCAATGTTTTCAGGTTACAGCCGTGCAAGAGAAATGTCAGCCATGGTTTCAGCTCTGACTCATGTTGTTTCTGGAGAGAGGAGTGGTGGGGAATGGGCTTATCAACCAGATTTTAGTGGCTCTGTGGCGTCAACCATTGCTTCTGGTGCGACTACTTATGCTTCTGGTTCGCCTTCTTCCTCTTATACTTCTTCTTCTTCAATGAGCGGTGGAGGACAGAAGAGAGGGCGTGATGAGGAGAGTACTGGTCAGTTGCCTGAATCCGTTTTGAGGATGTACAGAGGCTTTGGTGAATTCAGGACATCATTAGGAGAGTCATCATCTGTTTTGCCGGGTAAATATATATTTCAGTCAATACCCATGTATTTTTCTGTTTTCTTTTTAACTCTGTATAATTTTAAGATATTATTTTCCTTTTATTTTTCTATTTTTTCTTTAATAAAACTTAAATAGTTTGGAATATTGCATGCACTAATAGAATTTCAACACTATAACATTATCTGTTATAAACTATTGCTATGGTTTATAAAATGCCAGTTCAATATATCTTTTCCAAATTCTTTCCTTTTTTGTTCTGTCTATTCTTATGTTCCTTGGAGAAACCATTGCTAATGTTTTTTGTTTTTTCTTTCTCTGCAGTTAAACAAGAAGGTTCGAGCATTATAAGCACCACAACTGTAGGGACTCCATCAACCACCACCACCACCGCCGCCGCCAGAGATGAAACCACGTCCCAAGGAGAAGTAGGAGAGAGGAGGAGAAGATACAGAGGGGTGAGGCAGAGGCCTTGGGGGAAATGGGCAGCAGAAATAAGAGACCCACATAAAGCTGCCAGAGTTTGGTTAGGCACATTTGATACTGCTGAAGCTGCAGCCCGAGCTTACGATGAAGCTGCTCTGAGATTCAGAGGAAATAGAGCGAAGCTTAACTTTCCAGAAAACGTTAGGCTCAGTCAATCTTTATCCAATCCTGCCGCGACCCAGTTAACAATTTCCCATTCTCCGGCTACCCTTCTCCCGGTTCCTCAGATTTCTGAGCCATTCATGCCACCTCAAACCCAGCAGCAGCTACAGAGCTCCGATATTGCGAGGGATTATTACGAATACTCTCAATTACTTCAGAGTTCCGGGGAATTTCAAAGACAACCCACAAGTTTACTAGAGCAGATGTTTTATTCTTCTTCTTTGGCAGCTTCTCTACGACCATCTTCTTCTTCTTCTTCTTCTTCCCCCCTTGCCTCCTCCGTTTCCTCTTCAATGTTATCTAATCCATTTCCTCTATTTTACACGGATCAACAGATGGAATATCTGAGACAAATGGATACTCGTGGACAAGGTAACACTTCTGGCGGTGGGTCAGAGTTCCCGACGCCATCCTGGACGGATTCCGGTCACTATCCGTCTTCTTCCTCTAGTTAATTTTATTTTCTTTCCTATGATTGTTTTCCTGCTTTGACTCCTATTTGTTTCTGTGTTGCTTGTTTAAGGCTATAATGTATTCTATAGATTTGTAAAAGGTCTATTTTATTCGATTGAGCCATCCATGTAACTTTCTCTGTCTTTTTTTTTTCCTAAAAAAATGATAAGATAGAAGAACAGGAATTAAAAGAAACAAACGTGATTCAAAGACATAATCCAGATCTCAAGAGTTAGTGATATTATATACCTGAAGCTTTGATGTTACATTGTTTCGATCAATAAAATATCGAGTCAGACGTCATCTCGTTTAGCTGTCTCCTCTTTAGCTTCCATGCAAGATTAATTAATAATTTGATATTCACCGATACCGTAATGGTTTCTGATTACTTCTTTACTTTAAACTTCTCAACGCTTGTAAAGGGATAATAAAAACTAAAGAAGAAATGCGAAACAAATGAAATAATTCTAAAATAAAAAACTCAGATAATGGTTTCACTCCCCTCTAAAGCCCAGAACCAAATGACCCCATTTGACTAAAAACTGACTACATACATGACACATCTTTTATGGGCCAAATTTATACCCAACTACAATCCAAATTTGAGCCAGGTTTGACTTAGCTCTCCACTACTCCCATTATATAATAATTAACAGATAAAATGCTTATGGGGGAGAGTGGATCAGGTAAAGGATCATAAAAGGGAGGGAGTTTACCAGAAACCAAAATGGATTATTTAATCATGGTATTTTCTCCTTATAAGTTACTTACAGCTGCAGTTTACGTCTAGGCCAAGTATTCTATGAGGAAGAAGCTTGTATTTTACTGAACAGTTGAATCACTTCTGACGTGGAAGCACACGTGAAGAGTGAAGTAAGAGATTCATGATCCCGTCAAAAGAAAATGGTCACGGGAGGCCACGTGTGGCTTTCATTAATCCACTGTTGCTACGTCACGGTCATGGATGTTCAAAGACTTCAGACGTACACACTTTGATAACCACCTATTCATTCTACACATATGTTTCTTTCCTTTCTGGATTTCTCCCTCTCTAAAAGCGGTTAAGGCCCCCTGTCTCGTCTTGAAGGGGTTAGGTTGTTCAGTGTCCACCAACCTATTTCGAGAAAGCGAGATGCTTACTTCAATCCCACGTCTGGTGCACTAATCAGATCAATCTGGATCAGTGGTGGATAGCACAGACACGACTGCTCCAGTGCTCTTCTGGTGGGGGTCACTTGGTCACCTGGGACAGCTGGCCAGATGGGCTTGGGGCTACACTTGTCCGGTTCGGGCATGGACCAGAAACTTGAGATTTTAATGGGATAGATAAAATCAGAAGAGCCAACCAGTTAGGCACTTGATACCTGGCAGTGGGCCTGGTGTGGGATACATTGACCTGAAAATTGGGTCACACATCCACTGCACAAACGCACAAAAACGAGACATTAAATAAAAGTGGAAACGACCTTTTCAAATTTCCAATTCTACCTTCCCTAGGAGGAGGTTTGAACAAAGCCTAGGGAGGGAAGAATAGGTTTGGCACCAGTGCACAAATGTCAAATGGAGGAGGACATTTGTTGCAATTTGGATTATCAGTCTGGTACATGCATTATCAGTCCAATTAGGATCAATCAGCAAGATAAATATTCAACAGACAAGAAGTTAGATTTGACTACAAATATCTAATCTTCGCCATGGAACCAAATTATACTTAATGGTTTCCCAACTTTCCTTGTATAGGTACAGTCTCGGGGCCTTGCTTGGTTTGTTATGGCAAGGTAATTGGAAAAATTGAACGCAAAACAGGTTCTGGATGTTCTCTAATTGTGGTCCTTGTAACGTAGGTTACTAAGCAGGAGGAAGCATTTTGCTGACCGACGATGCCAACGAAGTCTGGTCGTAATACAAATCAGACTCACTTGTCCAACAAGATAGGAAGTGGTGTTAGAATGAACCTGCAAGTTTTTATGGATAAAAACCCAGTTGAGATATTCATGTTGCACATCTAAGAAATTAGGGATTTGATATTTGCTATATTAAAGCCTTTTGCAGTTCAATTAATCCTAACAACGATTGTGAAGTCCAAACTCCAACGTAATTTAAATAATAGAATCGCCCATTGATAGCTCAGAGATTCTTACTGAAAAAAAAAAAATCAATGTAGAGATAATATCAGCACCAAATTTCCATTTCAGTTTCAATAGAATCTGGATTGTGCATTTTAAAGGGGCTCCTCTTTTTAGCTGTCTCAACTCTCAAGTCTCAACGTAATCTCTATTTTTAGGATCTAGGCATAGTAAAGCTGATTAATTTCGTTTCACCTACTCATTTAATATTAGTCAAAAAAACCTGGGGTGGCTATTAAGTTGAAATAAATGCGTACTTGAGAATCAGAACACACCACAATAGGTCCCAAATACGTGCTTAACCAAGCAAAAATCATTTCAAAGACGACTGTTGCATAATTACAATTGCAATTTTTTAACCATGAACATTTGAAGGTGGAAACCTGAAATAACTCTTACAAAGCTAAAGTAGTGCATACCAGATTGCCAAAACTCCATCAGAAAAAAAAAATGATTAGGCTGATATCATAGGCACTCTTTGGGACACATCCAATGGTGGATCCCAGTCCTATGATATCAAACAAGTAGAGAGAATTAAAGGAGGCAATACTGCTACAGCATGCCCTGTAGCCCTGATACCGAGGAAAAGATTAATTATAAATGAGCTAATAGTTTCTTAAAAGATTTCTCATTAATCAACACCTGTTCATCAAATGTAAAATGAAAGAAATTTCAAAATTTATAGTAAAGATATGAATGGCTTTTACCAATACAAACATGTTTCATAAAGATCATGTCTCACAAATACAAGAGAGAGAGAGAGAGAGATTAGAGAATCATACTTCTTAATCAGTGGAACTATCAGTTTAGACTTTCAGAGCAGCTTTGTGAACCATGGTTTCCTTGTGGATTTGGTGGCAACTCTTCTCAACAAGATCAAGCAGCTTCTCCAAGTTCATTGCCCATGAATTGAGAATGTCATTACTATCCTTTGCTGTCTGGAAGCAGACAATTCCCATTGGCCGGTCAATTTTTGCAATCAACGACTTGGAGACGACCATCTCTGACAGGTGCTTCTCAGCTTCCTGAAAAGCAGCAAAAGAAGATTCGATAAATGAACAAAGCTGTTAGTTGAATTCTTTAAACAACTAATGCACATGGATGATGGTAAAGGACCATATCATCAACAGCTTCAGAGACTGATAGCTCCAAAAAGGTTTTGTATATTTTTTATTTATTTATTTATGGAACAATGAAGTTGGTATTTAAGAGAAAATAAGATACAAGGTGTACAAGGAGAAGAAAATTATCACCTAATACAACAAACACAGAGGTCTCACTCTACAAACATCCTTTTTTCTTGATCAGTAATCAGATCAAAGAGAATGTATCAAGAAATCACCAGTAGAAGTATAACCGCAAAGAGGAAATAAAATAAAAGGCCGGCCAGTTGATACTCAGTAACCAGACCGAATGAATCACTAACTAGTTAGTTGATACTCAGGAGGCGCTTGACTAGTTGATTAACAACTAGCCAACCATAACATCATTTTAAAGCTTTATTTATTTGCTTCACCACACTGATAACAATGGGCAGTAACATCCTATATTGCATGTTTTTTGTAAGTGAATTTTTGTAAAATATAAGGCTGGCAAGCATGAGAATGACAGTTGAAGTCTGAGAGAATCCAATTTGTGCTGAGAAGTGTGAGTTCCAGATGTTAGGTTTGCATCCGCTCCACCCTTTCCAAGACCACAGACGGTCAAGACCAGCATTGAGTAATACCCTTATTATTCTTGTATGTTAACAACACTAAACTGTCACGAGAAAGGCCTTCTTGTATACTAACCTTACCCAGCCGTACAGATGAGTTGCTACAAAAGATTGGTTGCAATCAGATCTAAATTTCTAATATCCAGCATGCAACTTAAAGAAAATTTCTTATTAGGACACAAAAAGGTACGATGCCATCATTAGAGAGTCAAGGGATATTATGAAACAGCACATCTAATGGTTGGAGTAACTTGTAAGTCACAAAACATACAGATTTAGGATTAAACAGAGAAAAAAATACTATGAATGAACTATGGATGAAAAATGAAATACAGCTGGTTAGTTTCCATGATACTAATGCTGAGCAGATATTTAGGAATGAGAAATCAGATGAAAGGATAAAAAAGAAGAAAAATAGTTGCTGTACTGAAGGGAAAAAAACAAACAATCATCATCATCATCTAAGCTTTGTCCCAACTATATGGAATCATTAAATTGTGGGTGCTTAAATCATTTCTAATTACTTCCACCCAAGTTCTTTTCAGTCTTCCCCTAGCTATTCTAGCCCCTTCAACTTGTAACAGACCACTTTTCCTAATAGGTGCTGTAGATAGACTTGTATGTGCAAAAAAGAAAACATAAAATTACCAGAGACAATGGTTTGGCCTCCATTGACAAACTTAAAGCCAACTCAAAACGAACCAGCAACAACTCATAATTGTCTTGAACCCATGAAGACCATTAAATTTTGACTTGCTCTTAAAACAATTCTAAATACCCATTACTTGATACAGTTAAATTCACCATAAACAGCTCCACATTAAACTAGAAATTAAGTAGGCAGATATCCCATCACTGACATCCTATTGCTGAAATGGTCATAGCTCTCCTGAATTTGCATAACTAAAAACTCCATATGGTGACACTAAAATCAAGTAAGAAAACAAATTCTGATTGATGGTTGCAATGGAGTGGCAACTGCCTACCAACAATCAAGTAGCTAAGCTTTGATGGCTGTAGCATGGGCAATCTGAGCAATTTTGGTATAGATGGGGTCTTTGCGAACAGAAATGGTTAGGTTCTTGCAATATACCTGGGAAATGCAGGAATTGAGAATTCCACTAGAGCAGAGTGTTGACAGTATTATCACAGCTACAGGGGTTGAGGATGGCAAAAATACTCAGCTTGAGAAATCTGATAAGTTGAAGGAGACTTTAGGTTGTAGTAGGCTGGATGAGGGGAAAACAGTTTTCTTGGCACTACAGACACATCACTAGAGAGATAAGGCAGTAAAGCTACAGAAGTGGTGGTAAATGTCAACTGGGTGCAAACATGGAAAACTCGATGGCAAAATCAGGGATGAATAGGTATGGAATAACTTCTTTTTGTTGGAGGAAAGTTGGGAGGCGCTCCAGCTGCAGTGGTTAAGTTGTTTGACTCAGATTGGATGAACTGTTCAACACATAAGCAAAAGGTTCAGTGGCAATGTGTAAGTAGGGCGATGCTATGGAGAATTCGGTGTGAAAGAAATACTAGAATTTTCGATAAAAGATAAAAGAGAGTGGAGGAGCTGATTGAGTTCACAATGATAAGAGTAGCTCATTGGGCAGCAGCTATATGTGATGGGTTCAAAGGAGTTTCTTTAAGAGGTTGGCAGGTTATTGCTGGCTTCCAAGTCAGAAGACATGAACACGTGGCTGAATGGACTGCACCAACAGTTGGGAATCTGAAATTTAACTTTGATGGGTGCTGTCTTGGAAACCAAGGGGAGTTGGGTGTCGGGGGACAAGGGGTCACAGTGGTAATATCCTCCCGAGCTATTCAGGATCAATTGGTTTAGGTAACTAACTCATTAAAGGCTGAAGAAAAAGCACTGATTCAAGGTTTAAAATTGATTAAGTTGAAGGGAACGAGAAATATGGAGGTGGAAGGGGATTGTCAAACTATAATCTGTTGGATGATCCAAGATGCAGTACCTTGGAAGGTCATATCGCTGGTAAGGCAGACACATGCTCTAGGTGCAGCCTCGAATATCTAGTTCAGTTGGGAACCTAGAAGTGCTAGCATGCTTGCAGATGCTTTAGCAAGAGCTGGGGTGATTAAAGAACAGCAAGAATAGGGTTGTCCAGGGTCGGGTTGTAATCTATAACAATTGATCTTTGTAAGTGGTTTGTTATGCACTTATGCTTATGTTGCGCTTTGGGCTCTCTATTTATGGGAGTGTTCTGTAATCTTTGGTCTGTTGCCTAGTTGGGTATGCAGGATGATGTTTCTGTTTTAATAAAATTAATCAGTTAATTATCAAAAAAAAAGTTAGGGGCGAATAAGGCACAATTGTATTGGCCAAAATATACCACAGTGATGTACATTTGGGGTTGTATAGGTTATTTTAAGTAATTGTCTGTGTAAGACAGTGGATTTAAGTAATATAAATCTGGTTGACCCAGTTATTTGCTTCATAAAATAACCTATACAAGTTTATTTGCATCAATTTAAATACTAGAACATGCTGGAATAATAGTTAAAGGGCAAAATTGATGAAGACAATATATATATATTATTGATAATTGATGAAGACAAAATATAGGAAAATTTTAGAATTCCGAGAGTCCAAAACCATTATAAATAGGTCCCTATACCCATATGTGGACCCATTATTAAGACACCCATTAAACCCATTACGAGGGGAGGGGAAACCCACACTCTCTTTCTCTCTCTCTCTGTCCTCCCTTTCTTTGCCCCATTCTCTCTGTCTCTGAGCCACTGACTCGTCCCACTGCCATTCCCTCTGGACTTTCGGATTGACCGTCACTACCTTACCCCACTTCACCGGCTTATAGTCTGGATTCCTAAGATGACAATTGAAGAAATAAAAATCAACCTAGAAGACATCAAAATTGACCCAAAAGCAGGGGGAAACCCACATAATGTGACTAGTGTATAAGACCTTGCAAGAAGTTTATTTTGTTCTTTTGTTTCTTTCCCGTTCTCTATGGCTAAATGAGCTAATACCAAAATATTTGTCTAAATATAAACACTCACAAAATCAATATGCTGACATCCTAGAGAAATGTGTAATGATTTTGAAAATACAATTATTCAAAATTCAACAAAAACAATTACAAGGGCACATCCTTTTTTTTATGAATGATTAGGCAATTCTATTATAGAGAAAAAAGGAGAGTACAATCAGCCTTGGAGGCACAACGCACGAGATGCTACCTCCCCATAGGGATGAGTACAGACCCAAACACATATCAGAGTAATAAAGACTATAAGTTATCCCAATACAAAGATACCCAAAAAATCCCTTGTTTAGCCAGAGAGTCTGCCAATGCATTTGCTGATCTGCTGACTCACTGGAAATTGACTGTCATGTTCCTTGTAAACCATTTTACTTTTCTCAGAAGAAAAGTATAAACAGAACCATCCTAGTAGCAAATAAACAAGACAGAAAAGGAGAAAACAATTAAATATGATAAATCGTCCTTATAAGGGATACATACCAATCAATCTATGATGCGTTTCACTAACCTAACCCACTGAATGGACAATTTGTTACCCAAGGTAATTGGAATCATGATATTATTAAACTACCTCATGGCAGAACCATGATACACAGAGAATGGAAGATTCACAATGAAGTATATTTACCAAAATGACCTCAAGATGAATGTATAAGATGAGAATACAGAACCTGAAGACACCTTTTCGATAAATGAAAGAAAATCTACAAAATTAAAGAAATTGAATCTACCAAAAAAACTTAAGAGGTAGTATGTCGGTAACAAACCTGGAGAGTGAGACACAGCAGCTCTGCAAGTCTCTTCAATTTGATCCTAGAGTAATATTTTGACACGACTAATATGTTCTGAAAGCATATATGTCAACTAAATTAATTTGAATATCTAAAATCATAAAATYTTGAAAAATAATATGCCATATAACTGGATGTGCACAAGCCAATTACATGCTCAATAATTCTCTGTTTTAGATCCTCTGCTGCTTTCTCACCCAAATGACCGCCAAGCATGTTCTTTTCATTCTCAAACTCATACTGATATGTCTCCCACAGTGTATTCCACTGGATCACCTCCATTGTGGTAAGCTGTTTCAACAGCAACCTGAGATGGTAGGCAGGCACGTAAAAGAATAGATGAGTAAAAATTGGATGATTTCTTGGAATAAAGCAGGAATTGGTATTTAAAAAAAAAAAAAACATCAATGTCACCAAATATATACCTAAATTTTGGAATTTCACCTAGATTCTTATCCTCCAAAGTAGAGTTAAGAAGGCTTGACTGCAATGGATCATGTGGAGACAGAACTAAATACCAGCAAATTTTCCGTAGGACCTGCAAGTGGGAATAATTGTCAGGAAATGCCAAGGTAAATAGGGAGACATGAATTCAAAAACAGTACTTACTGGTATCCACTGTGCCGGATCTTCTTTGACAGATGGAATCTCATAGGTTGCCTTGTAGCTACGACAGATCTCAAGATAATCATTGTTATGGGAGTGGTACCTACATCAAGGAAAAGAATCCAACTAAATAGTTTGCTTTATATTGGGATACCAGATATAAAGTCATAAATAAAGTTCAAAATCTACAGCCATTTTTACCACATAATCCGACAGTGTACTTAGATTCAAGCTCCTCAACCACTTCTATTGGGAATTTCAATAATACATTATCAAAAAATAAAGCTTAGAATCAAAAGCACAGTTGAGCTACCTAGTTTAAAATATAAAAGGAGAGAACCAAACTCATATACCATTAACTTCTAACCACCCAAAAGAATCCTACAACATATATCCTATCCCAAACCTATCAAAACACTGTTTTACAACTTCCTAGACCTGCATGTGTGTTAACAAATAATGGCTGGCTGAAAGAGAGCATGAGAAAAAGAGATGGAGAGAGGCCTTGGGGGCATATATGGTGGGGTAATTAGATGTTATCCAAATATCTTCATCCATAAAAGAAGACATATTTCATCCTTTTTTTTATCAGAAAATATGTATTTTATTAAAATTCAGATTGTAAGCATTTTATACGACTTTTTTTTTATCAATAACAGAATGTTTTATTAGATTATAAAAATTGTGAAACTTTGAGTACAAGAGGGGAGGTAAAATATCTTAACTCCCCCACAACAGAGAACAAGAAGGAAAGCTAAAAAGTGGCCCAAAACAAAGAATCCTTAAGCACCCCTTGCTTGGCTAACCCATCAGCCATGGAATTAGCACTTCTCTTAACCCAACTGTACTTCACCTCAATATCCCTACTCAGCCATTTAAATTTTTTCTTTTCATTTCTGTAGCTCCACAAACCATTGCTGTCTTCCTTCAACCACCTAATTACCACCTCCGAGTCCCCTTCAATGATCAAGCATTTTATACAACTTGATGATGGGACTGTTGATCCCCTTTAATCACTCTATTCACCCCCCATTACAGTGTAGCCCAAAATAATTGCTGTCTCAATGCCCCCCCCCCCCCTGTTTTGCTAATCCATCAGCTAGCCCATTTGCACTTCTTCAGACCCATTTAAATTCAGCCTCAACCTCCTTTGCAATCTTCTCCACTTCCCTAATCACATGTTTAAATGTCGATGGGGTGTGGCTGCTATTTGTTGCCCATGAAATTACTACTTTTGAGTCCCCTTCCACTTCAACATGTCTGCATTCTAGTTGTTTGGCTAGCTTTAACCCTTGTAATAATGCCAATAGTTCAGCCTTCAGCGAGTTTCCGTTGCCAATCGATCCTGAGAACATATCCAATATCCTCCTGTTAGAGTTTCTTAATACTCCTATTCCTAAGATGCCTGGATTTCCATATGAGCACCCATCAAAATTCAGCTTTACTTTATTGCCTTCAGGTGGTTTCCACTCTAACCTTACTTTATCTCTTACTCTCGAAGATTGTGATACTTTGGACCATGTTCTTAGAATATCTACGACTGAAAAGACTTGAAAGCAATCCAAGGGTTTTACCCAATGGGCTACTTTCACCTTGATACTATCAATCACTTCCTCTATTGTTCTAATCCCTCTTTTCTTTCTTTGTCTCAAGAAATCATGATTGAAAAGTCCTACCACATCTTGAGGGGGAACCCACCCACAGCCAAAGAGAGTACAAAAGAATTCCCAAATTTGATGCACAAAAGAACAAGATATCATTAAATGAGAAAGGGTCTCATCACTTTCCTTACACAGTGAACACACATGAGGAGAAAGGCAAATATACGGCCTTCTTTTCTGCAGCATATCACAAGTGTTTACCTTACCAAGGAATACTTCCCAGCAGAAAGCTTGGATCTTCGGGGGAATAGGCATGCACCAAATTTCTTTCACAGGGAAAATCCCACCTAGAGGGTTGGGGGAAGCAAGTACTTTGAAGAAAGAGGAGCAAGAAAAGAGGTCGTCCGGAGAGCCTACCCAGATTCTAGAGTCTTCCAACAAAGGGTCCAAGTGGATCTTCCCTAAGAGGTCCAGCAAACGGATTAAGGATTCACACTCATTCTCCCTTAGTCCCCTTCTAAAGCCCAAATTCCAGTTCACACCAATTGGACACGGTGATCCCAACATGGATATAGCTTCCCCCTTAAGGTTAGATAACGCAAAGAGATCAGGGAATTGGTCTTTTAGTGGGGTTTCCCCTACCCATAGATCTTCCCAAAACAGAATTCTATTACCTTGCCCCACATCGAACCAAATGGAATTGAGGAAAGTAGGGTAGATTTCATGAATTGCTTTCCAAGGGGAAGTTGAAGACCTGTGAGGGGAAACTTTTGCATCCCAGCCATTTCCAGCCACCCCATGAATACTCTCAATCACTTTGTGCCACAATCCGTCGCCCTCAAAGGGAAACCTCCAAAGCCACTTACCTAGTAAAGATGTGTTCCTTAAAAGGATGTTCCTAATTCCCAAACCCCCTTGTTCCTTGGGTTTACTTACCTGCTCCCACTTGATCAAGTGATCATTCCCTTCCTCTCCTGGGTCCCATAGGAAATCTCTCATATACTTCTCTAAGCACCTTGCTACCTTAGAAGGGATTCTAAAGGTTGAAAGGAAATAGGTGGGCAGGTTTGTCAGCTTCTGACTTGGGATTTCCTCCTAAGGGTAAACCTAGGTAACTAATAGGCCAGCTTCTGATCTCACACCCCAAGATCTCCGCAATCTTATTAGTTCTCCTTCCTCCAAATTGATCCCTACGATTCCACTTTTGGTCCAATTTATCCTCAGCCCTGTAAATCCCCCAAAATTATTCAACAGCACCCTCAAATTTTCTACCAACTCCACATTGTTTCCTTCACAAAAAATATGGTGTCATCTGCAAATTGGAGATGAATAACAATCACTCGGTTTCTACCTACCCTCCACCCTCTAATGAGGCCTTGAGCATCAGCTTTTGCCACCATTCTACTTAATGCTTCTGCCACTAGGGTAAACAAGAATGGGGATAGAGGGTCACCTTGCCTAATTCCTCTCTTGGTCGGGAAGAAATCCTTTGTTGTGCCATTGATTAGGATTGAGTAGTGAGCTGAACTTAAACATCCTTTGATCCAAGCCCTCCATCTATCTCTGAATCCGAGTCTTTCTAAAACTTTTAGGGCTTCCCAATTAACTAGGTCATAGGCTTTTTTTAGATCTACTTTACAAGCGAGCCCCTTTTCTCTACCCTTTCTTCTTTCCCCAACGCATTCATTAGCCACCAAGATTTGATCCACAATCTGCCTTCCTTCTACAAAAGCTCCTTGAAAAGGAGAGATGATCGAGGGCAACACTTCTTTTAGTCTTTCTACTAAAACCTTTGACAGAATTTTGTAAACACTCCCAATGAGATTTATTGGTCTAAAGTCTTTAGGAGATTTGGCCTCCCTCTTCTTTGGAATTGAAGTGATAAATGTGGCATTTGCTCCTAGTGATACCTCCCCTTTGGAGAAAAAATCATTAAAGACTTCCAGGATGTCTGATTTCACCATATCCCAACACTCTTGACAGAAGGACATGGAGAAGCCATCCGACCCAGGGCTTTAGATTTGTCCATTGAAAAAATAGCTTCCTTGATTTCTTGCAGAGAAAATTTCCTTTCTAGGGCATGAGATTGTTCTTTTGACAGAACATCCCCTTCCATCCCTGGAAATTCTAGCAACACTCCGTGTGGGCTTGAGAAAATTTCTTTAAAATGATTTACAAAAATCCTTGTAACCCTCTGACTTTCTCTTACCACTTGTCCCTCTTCCTCCACTCTCAGGATTAAGTTCTTCTTTCTCCTTCCAATTGCAAGAGAGTGAAAAAACTTAGTGTTTCCGTCCCCCTCTGCAAGCCACTGACACTTTGATTTCTGTCTCCAACAAATCTCCTCCTTCCGTACTCTCTCTTCTAGTTTTTGCTTTTGATTCCATCTTTCCCCTCTTTCTTCTTCTGAAATGACTCTGAGAGCCTCTTTCCTATCTTTTATTTCATCCTTCATTTCTATTACTCTTATAGTCCACGCTCAGAGTCCACTTGGGGCTCCACTGTTGAAATTTAGATTGCCTTGAACCTTGGTCCATATTCCCTATGTTTGATGCTCATCTCTTCTGATGAAAAACAATTGCAGGATAAGCCATATGGTTCATGGTTCTTTTCATATTCTTTCCCTAGGGACCTGGTTTATGAAAATCAGAATTGTTACTATTTTCATATTCTTCTCGTATTACATAAGTCCCTTGGCATGCTTTATACAACAAGGAAGGGAATACCATTTTTTCCCATGTTAGCTCCTTGCATGTGGCTAGATGAAAGTCAAATCATTAAAAGAAAGGCATAAAGAGACTGATGGGGGGGGGGGGCGCTCCTAAAGGTTCTTTCTTTTCGTAGACTGTAGTCTTAAATAAGATCCTTAACAATTGATCATTTTTATAACAAGAGGAAAAGTGGTGGATAATTGTTTTATGCTTTCTTAATGGAATTTTTGCATTGCTACAAGTCTGAAACAATGTTTTAAAAGGCACGGGAGGCATATGCCTGGAGGGGCGCCTGCCCGAAGGCGCATGACAGAAGCATCCAAACCATTGAGGCGTACGCCTCTTGTACAGAGGCGTGGACAAAGGCACACGCTTCCAGGGAGGCGTACGCCTCTGGCACGCCTTTGGAAAGAGGCTTACGCCTCCCACGTGTGTCATTTTTATACATTTAACAGATTACTTGTTTTAAGTTTTTTATGTTCTAATTGGTGGGGCCACGATTATATCATGGCCCCCATTGTATGCAATTATTTTTTAAGTGTAAATGAGGGGGAAATATCCCTCTTTCGAACCCAAACTTTAGGGCTCGAAAGAGAGAACTGAGTCTGAAGTCTGAACTCTGTGTCTCTGTGAAACCTGTGCGAAGAACAAGTCTCTACTCAGCTTCAACTTTCAACCTGCAACTTCGAGTTTGAACAATCTGGTCTGGTATGTGTTTTTTTTTCTTTTCCTTTCTTCTTGTTCTTCTTCTTCTTTCGCATTTTGCAACCTGCAACTTCTTCTTCTTCTTTTTCTTTCGCACTTTGCAATCTGCAACTTCTTCTTCTTTCTTCTTCTTCGAGCAACCTGCAATTCTCAGATGTGGTGATCTTATTTTTTTATTCTATTTTCAATTGCAATCAAAGAGAGGTTGCTGTTGGACCAACCGACCAACCTGGGCGGCTGTGTACCTGTGACAAAGCTGCAAGCCTGCAACGCTTTTTTTTTCTTTTTTTGGGATCAATAAGCTTCAACGGTTAGTACTTAGTAGTTATGTTATTCATTTCTTTTGTATCTTTGTTTCTTTTTTTTCTTGATTTTACTAGTTTTGTTTCAGCCTTCTTTAACAGAGCTGCATGAATAAATTATGCTACACAGCCATGTTATGTAATCTGTTGATTCTGTTCTTCCTATTTTAGTGATATATATATATATATATATATGTTTTTATGCTTAAAATATCTATTTTTATTAATATACCCACTATAATTATAAAAAAATACATACTTGAGGCTTACGCACCCCTGTGCTCGGGAGGCTTACGCCTCCCACGTTCTGAACTACGCCTCACGCCTCCGGGTAGTGGAACGCCTCGCGTCACGCCTCTGCGTTTTAAAACACTGGCTGGATAGAATTGGGTTGACTTGTAGGCTAGAAAAAGGGATGGATAGGGTCAAGTTGCATAGGGATCCTGCCCTAGAGGGTAGGTGGCTGTACATGTGAATAGTGAGTAGTTAGATTTTTGAGACTTGATGGCTACTCTTGACCTAGTTTCTCATTGTACTTCTTTTCACTTACTAAATAAAGTGTTATTTATTTGTAGGATGGAAGTCAGGTAGCCCAAATTGAAGAACCTCTGAAAGGAAGAGTTTCCTAATTGAAGCTTCGATGCAGAAGATAGAGAAAAAGCTCGTGTAGTGTTCTTCCATATTAAAAGACACATAAAGCTGAAAGCATACCATTTTTGGAATCAATCAAGGAACATTACCTATTTATTATTCTGTTTCTCTATACAGGATTTTATACATGTATACAAGGTTCAAAGTAGCGGGCATATTGTATCATATCTTTAGGGGTCTGATACACCTGTTTACAGGTGTTTTTGGGAACCCTTTTTTAATGAATAAAATACATATAAATGTATATAAAATTGAAATTTGAGAAAAAACTAAAAAACATTAAAGGCACATGGTTTAAAGTACCAATACACCTCTGCCAATACACAGGTTTATCGATACTTTGAACCTTGCATGTATATATATATATACCCATAAAGGAAAGGAAAGGAAAGAATAGGCACATACACCGAGGGGATTTAAAGGTTCACATGTAAAAGGATAAAGTTTACTAAAATATCAGAAAAAGCAATGTCACTTTAATTTTTTCCCCAGTTAGATCTTGTACCATGAAGTGATCTCATAAGCTCAGTTGCAGTGACATTGGAATCAAGTTAAGGGTTTCAGTGAACCTTTTAGAGTCAAGTAGCATTTGAAACATCATGCCTTTTAGATCACAAATAAGCATTACAACGTGTTGGATGTTAAAACAATGACAAAGGAACTATGAGCCCTGGTACAGATACTGATATTATATATATATATATATGGAAAATGGGGATATAACTCTCCATTACCTAAAATCATAGAAAGAGATGCATATCACATCTAATATGTTCAAGTCGTGATTTTTTATCTAGCATTTAAAGCTGAGTATCATTTTTCAATACTTGTAAGTTGTATCAAAACCAAAGTTGTTAAACTTCTAGTGTATACAGACTTTTTAATGTATTAATTATGTATTTAATTAAAACATAACATTGTACATATTTTAAAAGTGTAAATGCTATAAAGTATACTATAGAATATTCGGTACCACATTCACATCAGATACATATCATGTCCAATGGTGGTTCACCCATACATGTACAGGGCTACAGGTATCCAGGTATCAAAACCAGAAAGACCCAATAAAACAGCCACCAGAAAATTAGATAACAAAAAGTGAGAAGCATTCAACCATATGCAGTTGAATTGCAAACAAAAATGTAAAGGGGTTATGCAGATAGAGAAATACCTTATCATTAGTCCATAATAGATCCGCTTCAACTCCAATAATGAAGGTATGTCAGCAGGAGGCTCTTCAACAACACTATCACCTTCCTTGGGCTTCTTCTTTTCTTTGGAAGTATCAGCATCAAAAACTCGTGGACTAATCTTCCTTGAGAGGATCTGTGCACGAACATAATCCTGGCGGTCTAGACACAAACGAACCTGGAAAAGTTCAAATTTCAGCAAGTCAGCTGGAAAAAAAAATAATATGAACAAGGACATCCTAAAAACTAATAATACTCTTAAAAGGTTCCACTAGTGATCTTTAATACTTGTTCAAGGATGAATGCTATCTTCTCTGTTTTTGCCATTGCTCCAAATGTTTCTACCTGCAATGTGAATAAGTGAAAGGTTAAATCAGCATAAAAGCTGCAGATTTGTGGATTAAGTTATTTTTGTCCAGGTATTTGAGTTTTGTACTTGCATTAAGTGTGAATGCAAGTAGATAACCAAATATAAGTTCATTGCCAATAAATCTACAAGTCCATTCCTTTTCTCCCATTGGATAGAATAGCAATGTAGAAGTTACCAAACTTTTATAGTTCCAGACAATACTTACAGATACTGAAAAGTGAAATCTTAACAACTGACATCTTTATTATAGTTCCAGACAATACTTACAGCAATTTCCTGCATCAAATCAGCAGCCTCGGCTATAAGTCCTTGTTCTTCCTTGATTTTAGCAAGCTTCTTGATCAGCCGTGCCCTCTCTATTTCCACATATATCTAGACAAAGACACAGATAACTCAAATAAACCTAAAGAAAATAAAGAGGGATTACAAAAGGACAAGATGCAGCAAGACAACGTTGGGCTTATTTGTTCACCTTTCCAGCAGACACACTGTTTAATGTTTTGATGAGTTCTACTCGAGTTTCAATATCAGGTGTCTGATCAATGTATTCCATTGCCTTCTGGACCATTGCAGTCACTGCCTGTGTGAAAATAGAAAACCACCTCATGAATAATAGAAGTAAATGCATAGCAGCAAGGCAGCAACAATGTCACAAAAGAGCTCCCTGTGACAATAGCATAATGCATAAATCCATACGCCCCACAATACAGTACAGCTACATCATAAAAATATTCTTGAGAAAAGACTCCTAAATATACAGAAAATAAGCAACAAGGCAAATAAAAGCCATCCAAATTAGTGGCACCATGAAACCTTCTTTGCAATCAGTGATTTTAAAGGCATGCCTGGGCGCACAAGCGAGGTGCATTTTAGGGTAGGCGCCTCGCCTAGGCATGTGCCTGATGCGCCTTGCACCTTAGCTCCGAGAACCCCCTATTTACTAATGTTGTTCGTTCATTCACCTTAATAAAATATATTCTTAAAAGGCAATTAAAATTATAAAATCATTATTTTTTGTGTGAAAATTAAGAATTTAAGACCCTAAAATGGACTTGTTTGGGCTTGCCTTGAGGGGCGTGGCACAAATGTGGCTCGTAGAATCAGGAAATGTAATATGTTTTACATCACATTAGCTACTTGAAGTAATGCAATTGAAGAAAAAAAAGAAATTGTGGGTTTTACATGCTTGAAAATGTTTTATATGTTTGATTATATTTTTTAATTTTCACTTGAATATGCTTTACATGTTATGTTTATGTATTTTAATTTTAATAATAGGTTTTTTAAAACATTAATTTTAAAATTTAAGTTTACATTTTTATTAATATTATGTTTAATATTTTTTTGCATTTTTTAAAATTTTTAACACTGATTGCAACAGAACATCTCTAAATAACTCATTAATTCTAAAATGTTTGATCAAAAAAATTAATTCTAAAATGCTTCCTTTTTCCTGTGTTAAGCATTGCATCTCGGCCTTCTACATGGTAGAAAGTCGAAACTTGTATTTAGTTTATCATGTTAGACTATCACTGCAAGGCTAGAATGATGTGAATGAACAAACTTTTATTAAGGTTACATTTACTCGATCCAAAGGGGGACAAAAACAGGGCTGAAATATTTTAGAAATTAAGTTTTTCCGCAGCTTCAATGTTAGAAAACGGAGTCCAAGGTGCACAATTAATATTTTTCCTCTTCATTAACCATTGGAAAGGAATTGCAATTTGCAAAATTTTCAAATAGGCAGATAATGTACAAAGGCCGAACAAAATCCAGTCACAGAATCACAGAAATGAAGTTCTTTCCTCTTTCATCAGATGCAGTAAAATCTTTTAATCAATTTAGAAGCTATGAAATTTCCAATGCAACTATTTTTCTTGTTTCTCTTCTTTACCTGTTTAAGCTGACCCCTACGCTTCGACAAAAGAACGATCTGGTCATTCAGCGTCTTCCATGCTTGAGCTTGGAAGCAAAGCTCCAGAATGTCAACAACGGCTTTCTTTGTTCCCGCAACATCTCCAGCAAGCCTCATCTGCTTTTCCACATTCAACAGAGATTCTATAGATGCCTCTAGGTTACCTCCTTCCTGCAAAGCAAATCACAACATAGCAATTTTACAATTAACTGAACCGGGACCGAAGATGTAGCTCAAGATCTGTACACAAAAAATAATAATAATAATAAGTTAGAAAAATAAGAAGAAACTCACCATTGTCTGAGTCGATTTCAAGCTCCAAAATCAGCGAAGAAAGTAAGAGTCAGAGAAGCTCGAATTCGACTAAATTTACAAGATAAAACCGGTTACAGGGAGGGGAGGAAGAGTAATTTCAAGGAAAAATAAAAGCAAGATTTGGAGCTCAGAACAGAACTCCAAGGGTTGATTCCTAGCTGTGGTGAAGAGAAACTCGAAAGGAAGCAACAATAACCCTCGGGGAGGAACAACTTTTGGGAAAGAAACTCCATGGTTTAGGGGACTACGATTTAATGTCTATACCTTGTTGAATCGTTGATCTTGCTAATCTAGGTCGTTCAATAAATGGTCCTGTACAACCTTTTATCTTGATTCTATAAGCATGTATTGTGGGACCTAATCATTGACGGTGTGGATTCATGTGGTCTATTGGATAAACATATATAGTTGGAGAAGGTCGAAAAGCTTCCGAAATTCACTATACATATATTAAGCTGCTTTCGTTCATGACCAACTTTGGCTTTTCGACTTTTTTAGGTTATCTTGCAAAGCCAACAGCCGCAACTTGAAAACGCCATCCCTGCCACACCCCGCTTGCCCGCTTGGCCTCTCAGGTGATCGGGGTCCTTCAGGAGTGCTTAAGCGCAGTAGCTTTTGGTTTCGAGGTGGGTCTTGTAGTCGTAGGTTCGTACGGATTGATTCGTGTGTTGGAGAAAATTCCGGAGAGCACAAATCAAATCGGTCGAACCAACTGATGGTTGGATATCTGTTGTAGGCTAGTGGTAATATCTACGAATCTGGGATCAAACCCGGTTGGCGGTTGCCAATAAGTTGCCACCAGGGTTGTTGGGTTGGAACGGGATCTGCTCCTCACACTTGGGCGCCTAACATGCACATCCACCGTGCATTGGGAACATCTCCCGTGAATAATAACTTAAAACTATGGGAGATGTTCCCAATGCATGATAGGATGTGCATGTGAGACGAGTATGAGGAGCAGATCCGGTCTCTGTTGGGTTAAGGGGATTGGGGATGAGGATTTCTGAATCTGCTCGGCTGCTCCTCACTCCAACCTCACAATACCTCTAAGCCGCACATCGAGGGATCCAAGTATCATCCTACCCGAAAGGTGCCAACTAGCAAGTTGGTGGGTAAGGTTTCCTATTGGTCATAGAGACTTGGAATCCTGCCTACACCTGGTTGGGGGATGGACTATATAGGTTGAGTAATGTGCGGTTGTATTAATGTGTGGGTAGGATTCTTGTGAGTAGGAGATTTAAATTATACATCGGGAGCATCTCCTATATGTTGTGTTGTTATTTATGAGCAAGGTTTAGCTTAACGCTTTAATTGTTCAACGGGTTGTGGGACCAATGGTCAAGGTTAAAAAAATCGATACAATACGCTCCGTATTGGGCGTATTATATTGTATCTTTTGGGTCCCAAAACACCCCACTCTTTAAAAAAAAAAAACATTTTTAACTCCCCAAAACCAAAATTTGAAAAAAAAAACTAAAAAAAAAGGTTAATTCCATGTGTATCTAAGTACCGATATGCCTCTATCGATATGCAAAGGCGTATCGATACTTTGAACCACGCCAATGATAAGGTTCCAAGTCAGTATTTAAATACATGGGTCCCACATCTTTATACTAGGGCTCAAGCATTTATTATTGGCGTAGAACCTCATCATTGGTTCGACATCCCGTTGAACAACTAAAGCGTTCAGCTAATTCAAATTCGTCTTTCATAGGGAGATGTTTCTAATATACAATGGGGCAGGGTTGTGAGGGGTAAATCCCGATTTTACTATCCCATGTTGAAGCAAAAAAAAAAAAAAATCAATTAAATCATCAATCATTTAATCATCAAACATTTAAAGGGCCTTTGTAAAAATTCATAGTGTAAGTTTAGGGATGGCAATTTCTACCCTACTCGGTGGGTACACACTCTTGCCCTCCTTGAGAGGGTGGGTTTTTCTGCTTGGTGAATGGGTTTTGGGATTTTGCAACCCATACAAGTACGGATAGGGTACAATATAGGCGAGACCAGACTCTCCCCAACCTGCATACTGTTGGAAAAAGCATATAAACTTTATGTACTGGGTTTTGAATTTAATAATATTTTAAAATTTACATGAAAGATAATTGATAGTTTATGTGTTTCTTACATGCCTTAATCAAATAATTGGAAATTTTGTTGTTTATTTGTGTTATTTTACTTATTTATTACTTATATGTGATGAGAAATAATAAATATGAATTTAGATGCAAGTTCTAAACCCAAACTCGCCTCCACCATTGAACGTGGTGAAGATAGGGTCGGGGAGGGTTTTGCAATTTTATGTTTGAGGAAGGTTTGGATTCTCAAAATCCAACCCACTAGGGTTTTAGGGTGGGTATATGTTTAGAGAGGTGGATAGGGTCTATAATTTACAAAACCCTCTTGAATCCAATCCGTTACATCCCTAAATAAGTTAGTTAATCGGATAATTTACCACAATCTATATATTCTTATATCACAATGTTAGGCTTCACAGAAAGTGAATTTTTCATAGAGTATTAATTAACGCTAGCCAAGTAGCCAATACCATCCTAGACAATAATGATCCCTTTCCTACCTCTCTCTTTGCCCACGTGAAAATGCACGTGAATGTTGGCATTGAACAACATTCTCGGGCAACTTTTGTCCGGGAAACACTTGCCCAATTAAACGTGCTTACCTAGGTAAATGAAAATGAACGGAAATGTTTTCAATGCACGGGTAAACTTGTTTTGTGTCATTTGCGAGAGAAAGCCCATAATGCTTGTGGAGGAGGGTGGTTTTGGATTTTGAAATTTGCATTTAATCAACATTGCTTTAGTGATGAAGTTGCTTTGGCATTTTTCAGCGGAGCACAAGGGAATTTGGATAAAGATCTTAAAATCGAAGTATTGGCAAACTGGCTCTTTCTAGGTCGTGGAAAGAAAATTCAGGTTGTTCTCATATGTGGTCACACATTATGGATGTGAAATTTGTTTTATTATGGGTGTTCGTCGGTTAATTGGTAATGGTTGGAGCGTCAATATCATGTTTGATCACTAGGTTTTTTCACATGAGTCTTCGTTATTGATGTTACAAAGCTATATCGTCCCAATTATGTTGGTAACATTGAGAAAATGGCAAGGTTTTTTCAAAATCTCACTATAAGCTAATTTGGAAATGAACCCCGGCCCACACAGGAAATACAAGGTTAACTCCGTGTATAAAGCTTTAATTCAAAACAAACCCTTTTTTTTTCAAATAATGCCATGGCTATCCCAAAATCTTAGTTTAAAAAAGAGGAGAAAAAAACCTATATCCACAAATCATGTATTCTATTTATCCTCTTGGTAATAAAGCCCTAGGATCTCTCGAGCATGCCTTCTTCTCATGCCCGCCTGTTTAAGCAGTTTGCTTCAGAAGTACGATGCCTTTCCAAACATTGAAGTCTATTTCTCCTACTTTACAAGAATAACTGTAGTATGCATCGTATGGATATGTGGTCTAACTCTTGTAATGGATCTCTTATTGACATGGGAATTACTTACCTTTGGTGAATTTGGAAACAAGGTGCAAGGTGGCTTTTGAATGCAAGATTTTCTCTCATACTTTTGTGATTCATCTTGCCCATGCTACTTATAACCCATGCTTGCCACATTTACAGTCCATTTCAAAGTCCAATATAGACATTGGGGTTGTAGGTTGGCAAAAACTATCCAATGTCTGCTAAAAGTAAATGTAGATAGAGTTATCCACCAATCATCTAGTGGCACAGGGGTATTATTTTAAAGGGAAAATTCCTGATCAGTACCCTGTACTTTGGCTCGAGTGACAATTTAGTCCTTGAACTTTAAAATGTGACAATCTAGTACCCAAGCTTTTGAAACACGACAATCTAGTACATACCATTAATAGACCAGCAGTTATGAATATCACGTGACCTAATGTGGGTACTTAAGACTTTGAACATATCAAAACTACCCTTAGAAATAAAATACATTGTTCATCATCTTCTTCCTTAAGAAGATGAAATAGAGCCCAAGCTCTAAGTCACAAACACTTGCAACGACTTTGCTTTTCTCGCAAAGTCGTTGCTAAGAATAGAAAATTATAGGTTTTATAAAACTTATTTTTATTTTTTAACTTAACATGGTAATATTTTATTCCTAAAGACAAAAGAGAGGAGAAGAACCGAAAGCTTTGTCTTGATACTTGAGAGAGAGAGAGAGAGATCAGTGATGGTGGCCAGAGACTTTTCTTTTTTTCCATTTTTCAGATAAGATAATTATAGTAGTTAAAGGAAAACTTTTCTCTCAGAAATTGCCTTGGTTTTGGTCTAAAGATGACGAAATGTTTAGAGGAGAAGAAAGACAAAAGTATTGTCACATGGATGAAAATTTGACAGTTGGTTCTTATTTTAACGGATGGTTGATAAAGAAAATTAAGTGACAGTTGAAGGGCACTTGTCTTTTCATATGCCACTTAATGGTTGGTTAACAATAAGTATTAGATTATCGTGTTTCGAAAGTTTAAGTACTAGATTGTTACATTTTAAGGTTCGGGGACCAAATTGTCACTCAAGCCAAAGTACGAGATACTAATAAGAAATTTTCCCTATTTTCAAATACCACATTAGAAACTTCATTTTGGGAAGAACACTTTCTCAGTTGAAAGATGTTATAAAAGTCAAAGCTTTTACCTTTTAAGAGGCCTTACTCTTAGCTCATAATCCGAGCTTGTCTTCTTTTCACTTAGAGTGGTGCTATATCTATTGTTCAATTCCTGTTAGACTAGATTAGGGCTGTCAATGGGTCAGGTCTACCTGATAAAACCGAACCGATTATATCAATTTTGGTTCCATCTATTGTCCTCTTAGGTCGGTTCCGGTTCTAGAATTTTTGTGCCGATTATTATTGGGTCGGGACCAGCTTTGGCTGTACCGATCCGATTAATTATACATATAACGTTGACATTATAGTGGACTGTAGGATACTATTACAAAACTTCACCCACATACAAGTCATTCACACTCATCGTCGATGAGGCAACACACATATTAGCTCAACGTGGGTGTTCTTTGTCTACCAAATGTTTTACGTGGTCCTGTTGCCCACTTTCTCCTTGATATACCATTCAAAAAGATCATGGCTTGTACTGATTATGTTGGTAAATGAAATTGTCTTTTTTTGGCTTCAAAAAATTTTATATTATATTTAAATTGTTTTCGTTAAAGTTCTATTTGTTTTATGGTGGAAGTAGAGACA